AACAAGTAATTCCAATCAAATAACTAAACCAATTACACTTAAACCATTAATGCCACTTAAATAATTAAAACACTAACAAGTAATTCCAATCAAATAACTAAAAATAAATATCATTTAAATAAATTAAATCACCACAAAAGAAATAAATTAAATCACCACAAAAGAAAACCATTAAGCACCTAATAAAAAAAATCATGACACATAATCAAATAAAATGCACTTAAATAATAAATTAAATACCATTAAATACCAGGAATATCCTTTTTAAAATTAGGGGTATTACACCATATGAGCTGTGGTTTGGACGTAAACCTAGTTTAAATCACATGCATATATGGGGGTGTCCAGCACACGTGCGAAAGAAACAGGCAGACAAGTTGGAAGCAAGATCAGATGCATGCTTGTTTGTTGGCTATCCTAAAGGCACTAGAGGTGGATTATTTTATGATCTCAGGGACAATAAGGTTATTGTCAGCACTCATGCTGTTTACCTGGAGGAGGATTATATTATGAACCACAGACCTAGTAGCCAGATAGTGTTAGAGGAGATGGTTGGCAAGTCAGATATACCCCCTGTGGACACACCTAATATAAATACTGAGAATGATGAGACACAAGAAGTCCCTGTTGAATTACCATCATCTAGTACATCGATTCCTGCACCGGTCCTTCGGCGTAGTGGGAGGACTATAATCCAACCCGAAAAACTCACACTTTTGGGTGAGGTATATTAGGCTGTCCCCGATAAGCATGAGTCGGACCCAGTAAGCTATGCGGAAGCGTTGACCGATATAGATGCGAATCGTTGGAAAGATGCCATGAAATCAGAGTTGGAATCGATGTATTCTAACAAAGTCTGGGATATTGTAGAACTTCCTAGTGGGGTTCAGCCCATTGGTTGTAAGTGGATCTACAAACGAAAGAGAGGAATGGATGGGAATGTTGAGACATTCAAAGCTAGACTGGTTGCCAAAGGCTTCACTCAACGTGAAGGTATTGATTATGAGGATACATTCTCACCAGTTGCAATGCTTAAATCTATTCACATTCTTTTGGCCATTAGTGCTTATTATGACTATGAGATATGGCAGATGGATGTTAAGACGACATTTTTAAATGGCCATCTTGAACAAGACATCTACATGAGGCAACCGGACGGTTTCGTGGTTAAAGGTCGTGAGGACTGTGTATGTAAGTTGAATAGGTCTATTTATGGACTTAAACAAGCTTCACGCACATGGAACATTTGTTTTAATCAGGTAGTCAAATTATTTGGCTTTGAACAAAACGTGTTTGAACCTTGCGTTTACAAGAAAAAACAGGGTAATGTCATCATGATTCTCGTTTTATATGTTGATGACATCTTACTCATTGGTAATGATGTAGAAGCATTGTCATCAGTTAAAAGGTGGTTGTTCAATAAATTTGAGATGAAAGATCTTGGAGAAGCAAGTTATATTCTTGGGATCAAGCTTATGCGAGATCGGGTTAAAAAGAAAATAGGCTTGTATATATATATATACGGACTACTAGTTATTGTTGGATTGACTAGGACTACTAGTTATATATATATATCAGATCTCTGCTTGAACTGTAATAGAGTAGAACTTGTTTGTGGGCCTGACCCACCATTATTTTTCAGGTGTTCGTCAGGAGTAGAGGTTGTTCGTGCTGAGCGGGGATCAGTCTACTTCATTCTTCCGATGCTACATAGGAGTTCCTTTATGATTCAGTTTCATGATTTAGACAGTTATTGCTGTCCTTTGTTTAGTTTGGATTTTCTAGGGGTCCACACAGTATGGATTCCCGAGTTGTATTTTGGAGGATCAGTTGTATCAGAAGAGTTTATTAATTAATGGAAATATATTCTGACGTTTATTATTAGATTATCATTTTAGTTTCTTGTCAGCATTTTATTTATTCTTCTTTATTCTTTTGTACTCTGTGTTCGTTTATTATCAATTTGTTCTGATATCCTCGGGTATTCGGGCGTGGGCTTGGCCAACCCGCATTCGGAAATCTGAGGGTATCACAGGAAGAGGAAGAGTTGTACTATGAATTGGGCTCATAGGATGAGAAAAAGTAGTACTAAAAATTGATTACATATTGACTGTGCTGATAAAAATAGTAACACTAATTTTTTTAAAAAATTGGACCTTGGCTATAGCAAGCCCATTAAAAGCTCCACCCTCAGACATGTTAACATGTCATGAACCTAGTCAGTTAATTCGCGTATGATACGCAAATTAAACACGTACGTACGAATTTTGAAAAAATACTTCGGTTTGAAAGATACGATAAAATACGCATTTTTTTTCCATCACCTGTATCTAACGCGTTTATTCGTTTATTCGTTTTGGTTGCTCTGTTTAATTCGTAACCTAATTATTTTTTTTTTCTTTTCGTTCACGAACTTCACGTTTCTAATAGCGTATTTTTCTGAAACACAAACTACCGTCTTTTCTACCCTCTTCTGCTTGATATAGCCCATTATCTTTCACGCCATCAAAATAATGTTATTTGTTGTGCAATCTTGGGGAAGGTTGTGACCACTTTCTCACTCAGTTGTTCGATCTACATTCAAGGTATCACTTTCGTTCTTTTTTTAAATCTTTTATTGTTGTCACTCCAATGTATGATCTTTAATCACAGTAATAAAAGATATATATATATATATATATATATATATATATACACACACACACACACACACTTGTGGAACACTATAATCTTGAAGAATCATAAGTTTTTATTGATGTTTGTAGATATTTATAGATTTTTTTGTTTTGTTGTGAGATCGTTTAAATTTTGTTAGTATCTTTATTATTATTATTTTAGAAGTTTGTAGATCACCACACTCCCTAGATGTTTTAGTAGAGTATCACATTATATACTTATGAATTTTTCTTTTATGATTATTGTGATAGTGTCAATTATAATATATTTATTTTATTATTTGTTACATATTCTTTATTGTCCTTACAAATATATGATATATAAGAAAATAATAAGATGTGTATAGCCAAATTTTTTATCCCGAATTTTTAGTGTATATAATGTATTATACACATACATATCCGTATCCGTATTCGTATTTTTACTTTTTCATATTTTTTTGCCTAATTTTTTAAATGTATTTTAAAAAAAATATCGAATTATACTCATACGTTTCCATACCCGTATTTTTCCCGTGCCTTATTTTACTGACTATGGTCATGGACATGTTCATAAACTTTTTTTTGTTTTTTCTCTTTATAAGCATTTACTAAAATATAATTCTATAGAAATCCAAAGTGAAGGTTTCTATATGACCTATAAGAAAGTAAGGTCCTTAGGATGTACTAAAAAAAAATTTTGGAATTTTTTTTTTTTTTAGTACATCCTATTAAAAATTTAATATACACAATTTCATACTTGGCCCCCACCCCACCCCACCCCACCCCAAAGAAATTTTTTGGAATAGGCCTTGTAGGCTTTCTCTCTCTCTCTCTCTTTATTTTTTTTTATTTTTTTATTTTTTTATTTTTTTTTGTGGTTGTTTCAGTATATATGCATATATATAACTCTTTTCTCAATTCTAAAAATTTTTCCCACTCACTCTCTTTCCTCCCCAAAATGGTTTCATTTGTTGTTTCAGTACATTAGAATCTATTAAAAAAAAAATTTAAAAATAAAAAATAAACAGACTAACATGTCAAACCAATAGTGGACTAGTGGATTTTTTCTGCTTTTCGATTAATTAATCACTTTTACAGTTTTGCTATTTATTTTGGTATTTGATTACTGTATTTGAAAATGTCAATAATTTAAAGATTATAGATCTGATTACTGAATTTTTTTTTTTTTTTAATCGTTCATAATTTTCAAGTTGTTTCAACTAAAGATTGTTATTTGTCTGACCTATTTGCTACAATGTGTGTGTATATATGTGTGTAAATATTCACACACACACAATTACATGTATATCAATTTCTTTTTCTAAATGTTTTGTTCCTTTTTGGAAATGCTTTAATTCAAGATTATTGATATAAAAAAAGAATAGGTTACATTTAGAAATGATGAATTTGCTTGTTGATTTGGGGATTAGGAGTTCCCTGTAGAAGAACATGAGATATTTATCTTCAATTCCATATTGTTTACTACACACACACACACACACACATCATGTGTTCACATGATGTGTTTCGGGTTTGCTTGATTATTGATTTGTGCAATTATTACATTAATTTCGTATTTGTTTATAGATTAGAAGTCTAATTGGTTTAATTGAAAGTTCTTCAAATTTTTGCTTATTTGTTAAGACTTTTAGTTCAAATTCCATAATAGAAGATTTTTATTGTCTCAAAATCGTTAAACTTATCTTATGTAGTACATATTTGGCTTTTTGGGTTTATTTTTGTACATATTTATGTCATATTTGACTAGATATAGATCATTTAAAAAAATAATTATTATAAATTGACCAAAGTTTGGCTAGGTATAATTTTTATGAATATTATCGTTAATAAAATATTTTTGGCTTAAAATAATCTCAAATTAGATGATAATGTTGCTTATAAGTTTGCCCCCCAACCATAGAATCCTGACTCCGTCCCTGTTAAGAGAGCCATTATATGACAAGATTCATGAATGAGCCTTCTTTGTTAATCATTGGATTGACTAACTTATTATAAAATTAAAAGACTCTTCCTGTATTTCAAAACTATCTCATTGCAGTGGTTAATAGCTTTCTACTCAAATTTATACGAACTTTGATCATGTATAAGGAAAAAAATGGAAGGTAGCTAGATTCCATTGTTTGCCTAGCTATATGCAATATGGTATGTTTATATGATTAACAATTAAAAGCTTCATATGGATGGTAAATTGTTAAGTGTGAGGAAGTAGGTTTTAATATAATGTTAAAGTTAGATTTGAGCACACTTGATTAATAGGACTAAATTGGATCATGAGTCATTTTATTATGCCCCTTTTTATGCAAATGGTAAATTCTTTTGTAGGTGAAATTCCGCAAGAGATGAGCAACCATCTTCATTTGGAGATATTAGCAATGTTTGATGCAGGTCTCACTGGTCTCATTCCATCTTCCATCTTTAATATCACTTCTTTGCAAGGGCTTTATCTTTCTGGAAATAGCTTTACAGGTAAAATCCTTATATTCTGGCAAGTTTTGCAAGTTATGTTTTCCTTGCACTTTAAAACTTTCTTCTCTCATTTTCTACTTCATTTTTTTCCCTCAGCTTAGAAAAATGAATTTCATTATGAAGTGTTTAAAATACAAGGGTAAAAAGCACTTATCAAAAAAAAAAAAAAAAATTAAACGGTTGGTCACCTGACTTTGTATAAAATCATTAGATATGATTATATTAGAAACTTGTGACTTGATTGGTAAAAAGTATTTTATGATTTTTGCCCCCCAAAAGCATTTTTATTTATTTATTTTTTCCGACACACAAAAAAAACATTTTGTTGTCTACTAATGGGATTTTCGCCTTTGCACCTTGTGATTTCTAGGTTTTGGAGTTTGTTTAAATTTAATGTCCTAATTGTGTTATATCTTTTGGGTTTTGGAGTCTGGTTAATTAACTTGTAAAATACCAACTTGCTTAAAGAGGTAAGAGGTTTCTTCCTCTGATAATCAACATGTTTTATTATCATTTTTATTTTTCCTAATTTGTCATAATATGAAAAAGCTTTTCATAAGAATTTAGTTAATGTCTTCCTTAACTAAACCATTGTAGAATTTCAAATTTCGAAAGAAGTATTTCCAATATGGATTTTCCCACAAACAGATATGCCCATAATTGTTTGGATCTTAAGAAATCAAGTCAAATTAGTTAATTTTTTTTCATATAAATATGAGAAATAATATAGTGATTCCATGAAAATCCTTCGCATGCTAATATTATCTTGAAATGTTCATTTTTCTTCATCGTTTATTTTATATATTTTTCTTAATAGTTCTTATGAGACCTCTCTGATCATTTTCCACGAATTAATGTTACATTTCAATGTTCTTTACATTTCTTAGCAGGTGTGATACCATTAAATAGAACGGGGTTATGTTGAATTCATTGATGAGGCTTTTTTGTAAATTTCATGTCTTGACTGTGTGGTTTATTTTTATTAGTTATTATATCTTTTGGTTTTGTAGTTTGGTTAAACTTGTAAAATACCAACTTGCTTAAAGAGGTAATAGGATACTTCCGTACAAGATGACACCATTCTTATGATAATCGAATATGTTTTTGTTGTCATTTTTATTTTTTCAAAATATGTTTTTTCGCCAATAAGCATTTTCCTACAAACAAAAAGATCCTTGTGAACAATATAGTAGCTAAAAGTTTTGGTGAACAATAAATGTCAAATTAGTTATATATATTTTCATATGATTATGAGAGACGATATAGTGATTCCATGAAAAACTTCAACATCTATATATATCATCTTGAAATTGTCATTTTCCTTCAACTTTTAGTTTCTATTTTATGTTAATAGTTCTAACGACCGCTCTCTCACCATTTCCAATGAAATTAACGTTAGATTTCAATGTCTTTTTACATGGCTAAGCAGGTGTGATACCGAAAGAGATTGGCAACCTTCATAAGTTGGAAGGAATAAATTTGGCTTCGAATAAATTAAGAGGACGAGTCCCAGCAACGATGTTCAACATCTCAACACTACAAGGGATCTCACTTGCTGGCAATCACTTTTCAGGCAACGTACCATCAAGCATAGGCCAGACTCTACCCAATCTTGAAAGACTTTATCTTGGAGGAAATAACTTCACTGGAACTATCCTTGATCTATCTCAAATGCTTCGAAACTTACCACTCTAGATGTTTCCTCCAATAGGTTGACCGGTCCTATTCCCAGCTCCCTTGGTAATTTAGGACGACTCCTAATTTTGAACCTCAGGGGAAACAACTTCATTGCTGAATCTAGAATTGAGTTTCCTCACTTCTTTAACAAATTGCACATATTTAAGGAAATTACGAATTGCTGGAAATCCACTGCATGAAATTCTTCCAATCTCCATCGGTGATCTCTCTGATTCCCTCGAACTGTTTGATTTAGATGATTGTGGAATAAAGGGCAATATTCCGAGTGAGATTGGTAATTTAAGCAGCCTGTTATCGTTGTTTCTAGGTGGCAACAACTTAAGCGGGCGTATTCCAACGACCATCAAAGGGTTGAGCAAGCTACAACAACTGTAATTTAATGACAACAGAATAGATGGAACCATTCCTGAGGAGCTCTGCCATTTACTGAACTTGGGTGAGCTGCGCTTGAGTGAAAATAGATTGTTTGGAACAATACCAGCATGCTTAGTGAATATTACTTCCTTGAGATATCTATATTTGGACTCCAACAGATTTAATTCCGGCATACCTACAACCATTGGAAACTTAAAGATCTTTTGCGGTTCAATCTGTCCTCTAATTCTTTGAGTGGGAATCTACCCCAAGAGATTGGAAGTTTAAAAGTAGCAAGAGAAATTGATCTGTCAATGAATAAATTCACTGGTGATATTCCTACAACCATTGGTGGTTTGAAAGACTTGATTAGTCTTTCCCTTGCACATAATAGGCTACAAGGATCAATTCCTAAGGCATTTGGAAACTTGGTAAGCTTGGAATCCTTGGATATATCCCAAAACAACCTATCCGGTCCGATTCCTGAATCATTGGAGTCACTCTTGCATCTTAAATATTTCAATGCGTCTTTCAATAGACTAAGAGGAGAAATTCCGACAGGTGGACCTTTTGTGAATTTCACGAGTCAATCTTTTACGTCGAATGAAGCATTGTGTGGTGCTCCTAGGTTCCAAGTCCGACCATGTGATAATAATTCTCTTCACAAATCGAAGGTAAACAGAATGTTATATATTTTGTTTTCAACCGCATTAATACTTCTTGCCTCAGCAATTCTATTAATGTGCCTAAAAAGTCGATGGAGGAGAAATAAAAATCCAATTCAACCTGAATCGATAGCCGTAGTTACACGTGAAAGAATCGCATACCATGAACTTGTCCGAGCAACAGATGGGTTTAACGAAAGCAATTTACTTGGAATGGGGAGTTATGGTTCAGTTTACAAAGGTACACTAACCAATGGGACGGTTTTGGCTGCAAAGGTATTCAATCTGCAACAAGAAACTGCTTTTAAAAGCTTTGACACAGAATGCGAAATATTACGTAACATTCGTCACCGAAATCTCACAAAAGTCATCAGCAGTTGCTCTAACCTTGATTTTAGGGTCTTGATACTCGAGTACATGCCTAATGGGAGCCTTGAAAAATGGTTGTATTCACACAATTACTTGTTGGATATCTTGCAGAAATTAGACATAATGATAGATGTGGCATGCGCATTAGACTATCTCCACCATGGTTACTCTACACGTGTGGTTCACTGTCACCTCAAACCGAGCAATGTCCTACTAGATGAAGAGATGGTTGCACATGTGAGTGACTTTGGCATCGCAAAGTTCTTAGAACAAGGGGATATATTGCACCAGGTGAAGCTTTTGCTTTCAATTATTTTTCAAATGTTTTTTTTTTTTTTTTTGATGATGACAAAATTTCAATGTAGTTTCTCAAAATTTTATTTTCATCAAAACACGTCCAACTCGTTTGATTAATTATTATGTTGGATGTAGAGTACGGATTGAAAGGATTAGTATCAACAAGGTGTGACGTTTACAGTTTTGGTATTATGTTGATGGAAACATTTACAAGAAAACCCACTGATAATTTATTTGCTGGGGATATGAGTCTCAAGGGTTGGGTAAATCAGTCACTACCCGACGCAATTATTAACATTGTAGATTCCAACTTACTCAAGCCAAAGGAAGAACACTACACTGCAAAGGTGCAGTGTGTATCATCCATCATGGAATTGGCTTTGTATTGCTCTACCGAATCATCCCAGGAGAGGATCAACATGAAAGATGCTCTAGTAGCACTCATGAAGATCAAACTTCAATTTATCAAAAACTGTGAGTGAGTTGAAACATGAAAGTATCTATCTATTCTAATTCTAGTTTTGCTATTCCAAGTTACAGAATAACTTAGAATATTGAATTCCATGCAGGTGAGCAAGTTGAGACAGTAGTAACTCGATGCACTCAATGAGGACTGAATTTGTGTGATAATTGATGCTCCTATCTCACAAGGTGCAACTAGTGACTAATTTCTAGTTCTCTGACATTGCTATATCCATAGAAGTGAAAAAGTTTTATTCTATCATTTTACGTTCTAATAGAGAGTACTTTTGCAGCAGGAATTATGGAAATGCAAGCGTGGTAGCTTAGCTGCTTCATGATATCAAAACGATGATGCAGCAACAACAAAATAAGGTATATGACATCGTTGCATGTAACATATGCTTTAGATTAGAGTGTACCGGTTCATGGGTAAATTACTCGACAAGCACGATAGAGAATAGGCTAGGAATTTGGCAGTGTAATTGTTATTTTTTTTTTTCAGAAATGTACGACAAATGTTGTAACTCAGAGTCTGGGAAGCTGAAAGCTTTGATAACGTTTGTAATTTCTTATTAGAACTCTTCATACAAAGTGTTAATTCAGCAAGGCTTCAACTTACATCACAAATTGAAAGAAAGAGGATATGATGAGAGCATTCTCGCATGAGCTCGTGTGTTTCTCCATTGAATCAAGACATGAGATTGCATTCTCATCCATTGGATCGTGAACATGAGATAAAAACTTCAATCAACAGAGGAGGACGTCAGGACGTGAACTCCCATCGAGAATACCTATCCATTTCTATAATGACACAGAGATCTCTTGGATGTGGCGTTTGAATGGGATAAATTCTCTTTATTTAAGCATGACATTGTGGTAGATGGTCAAGAAATGGCTAGGAAAATGAACTCTGGCTCAATCCATGGGTGAGAAAACAACTCGAAAAGATGGCTAAATTTTCTACGTTAACAATCCATGGAAAGGATGATCATTCAATAACTAGCTTTCGACAAGACCTGAATAAGCCCTTACCCCCAATTACTTGATGCCCTTGACCTTTCTTCTCCAAGTGGCATCTTCAACTTAGCATCCCTATTTCTAAAACCAAGAATGTTATGGAAGTTGGAGAGACCAGCGCAGATTCAAGTCTCCTATTGACGGAGAGTGCCATGGTTCTAACTACTAAAATAGGCAATTCAATGTTGAACTAACTTGGGTTTGAACCAACTTTGAACTACTTGCCTTATCTAAAACAGGAGCATAGCAAGACTCGAAACAATTATGTTCAATCTATACTTGACAGCATTTTACCGATGAATTCAAATTCTGGGAATGATATATGCAATCAATGTTTCAACCACATGACCTAAGAAGAGTATATTTACACACACAGTGAAATACTTGACAGACCGACATATTGCAATGAGTTAATTTCTTGGTAAGATATTCTTCTAACTTGTTTTTTCCGAGTTTGACCCAAAATCTCAAAAAGATCAGAAACCTGCATATTGTTGAAAGTGCATTCTTGCGATCGTATTTATCATCTTTGTTACCACCATACTTTGTTGAATTCCCATTCCAGAAGGAATTTCTATCACGGCTATCATCTTCATCATGTTTTAGTGTTTTACTGTCTTCACTAGGGGGCACGGGGCACGGGAAGACTGGAGAGTATAGGGTCTTCCCGTGCCCCCTAGGTTATTCTGCAGCGTAAGATTTGGACCTGAATATCAAAAGCCATACGGTGAGAATGAGAAACACAGAGATATTGGTAAACACGGGTCATTAAAGTAGACATCAATTTCCCAGAAAGCAGATAACATATCCCTTTGTTCTCTGTAGAAAATAAATACATAATTTTAAAAAGCCACCAACTGCCACGCTCTCATCAAAGAAAAGCAAAAAATATTTAAATGGAGGTACCAACATTTGAATAGTCATATATGTAATTCTTTACATAACAACAAATGGGTAATCAATTTTTATTAAAAAAAATAAAAAAACCAACCAATGGATGTTCAATTGCCTACCATAAACATATTATTCAAAACGCGATAAAACTACCATTAAGATCAAAAGATTCAAAATAATAATTATAAAGTAAAAAAAAAACACTAATATAATATGTTTACCGTACGTATCATAACCCCTCATGTATTATATGACTATTTTTGTCATATTATAAAATGATATGTAAAATGTGTATATAAGGGCGATTTAATCAAAATATAAATTAAATGTGTCAGGAGGAACTTATTTGCACTAGATTGTTTGTGGGTGGTTTTTGCACATGAAAGATGTGATATGCATTATAAACATACTATAGAAGTGTTTTCTGCACTTAACCCCTTTTCAAATTAAAAGTAAAGAAAATTATTTGTAAGGGACATTTAGTTTCAAATTACAATCCCAAACAAATAACTGAAACAAAAATCCTACCCAATATCCAGTAGATCAGGCATCAAAACAATATCTATCATAGGATTAACCAATTTCTAGAAACATAGAGATAAAGAGGAGAGAGTACATAGAGAACAAGAATTGAATCTCACTAGAGAACTAAAACATAACAAATTAGAATTGATAAATTTCAAATCACAATACCTTAACAGAGAAGTGTGAACCACAAATTCCAAAAGAAGAAAATCAATCAAATGATAAAAAAAAATTCCAACAGAAAATGCACCAAAACAAGATCAATCATGTGATTAATTGATATGCGGAAACAGAAGTGAAACCCTCCAGCGTTGAGATTAGACAGAAAATTATTTATAAAGAAAATTTAGTTTTAAATTGTATTTACTCTCTAAGAAATTACTAAAAATATATGGTCCAGTATGGTCACATGGCGTGTAAATAGGAGCTATGAGCTACTTAATAATTGTATTTGTGTATATTAATGAATGAAATAAAGTATACTCCGTATATATCAAATGGTTCTAGTGTCAAAAAAAAATTGGTTCTGCAATTTTAAGTGCTTTAATGAAACATTTTATGAAAAAAAAATTAAAAAATAAAGAAATGATTCTACAACTTTAAGTGTTTATTTTATTTATTTATTTATTTATTTTTGATAAGTAAATTCTACAACTTTAAGTGCTTTAATCAGAGTTTTTATGAAAAAAATAAAAAAAATATTAATAAATAAATAAATGAGCTCACACTTTTAAAATAATTAGCAAATGAGTACATGCAAAATGTGGTGTAAATCCACGTGCAAATGCATGTGGTGTAAATCCCAGTGATTAATAAGATTATAATAAATTATAAAAAAAAATATTTGATTAGTGGTTAAGAAAACTTTAATAGAATGTAATTTATTTGATATGTTTTTCAATGTGAAGCAAGGAATATGAAAATATATCTTCATATGTCATCTATATCACAAATGAGCTTCTATTTTTAATTTGTGTTTTTGTTACTTGAATTAAATATTTTTTTAGTTTTATCACACTTCTATCCATAATCATATATTCTATGTAGAAATCTCTGGATATCTTAGTAGAGCAATTCTCATATATTTTTAACGTTCAAATATTTTAAGTGATTATCATGCATGTCAAGCGAAAAGATATCTTATTTCGCTTCTTAGGCTTTAAACTCAAACCCATGTATATTAAGATATATTCTAAAATATAGATTCTAATCAAATATATATATAATTATCATTTTGTAATCCATATGGATGAAGCACAAAAGGAATAACCTTCCAGCATTTTGTATTGTAAGAAAGAAGACACTTTTTCTTTTTATAGCATTATAACATTTTTTGTTAAGACTTTCCTTTCATGGACTCAAGTTTCTTGAGATGAACGAGCTTTCCAAAAATAAATACACTGGAGAAAGAAAAAAGAAAAAAGAAAAAATAGCAATCCAAAACTCACATACACAAGTTGACATACAAATACCATATAAAATTTCCAAGAAATGAGACCAAGGAGCTGTTAGCCTTTTTGGCTATTAATGAACCAACACGTAACAACAGGAACATGACGGAAAATATACGTGAAAGGAAAATGATATTAATTTTTTGGATACCAATATGATTACAATCACTTTCTTTAAATAGGCAGTAACGTAATTTGAATGATAACAACCATCATTCAAACTCTAACAACCTAAACCTATCAATCATTTTATTGTAATTTCTAAACTCTAACTGTCAAGATAACATTGACGATATCAATGAATATTAAATTTTGAATTAACTTCCAACACTCCCCCTTAATTCAAATTTTCAAACAACTTTAACAAATTTTAGGGTAAGTCTTCAAATTTCTACCACGATTACTGCTACTGTTTCTTTTGAATCTTCTGCCAACATTGTTGCTTCTTCCATGCTTTGTTTTGTTTGAAATTTTAGTCTTTTCAGGCTTGTCTTCCACTGGTTTCTTCTTTGTCTTTTGAATTCTAAATGCTTTTTCTAGAGTTGGTTTTGCTGTGCATGCAACCACTTCTCTCTTCTTCTTATCATCCCTGAGCTTAGAAAAATCAAGAGGATAAATATTATTATCAGACATTTTTGAAAACAATATTAATTTTTTATCTCCTTTGTTGTACAACATGCATCTGTCATCTTCAAACACAACTGAACAACCTTTCTTGAGTAGCTGTCCCAAACTGATCAAATTTTGAGCCAAACATGGAACATACAAAACCTCATCAATCAATTTTTTTACCTAAATTTGTATTTACTGCAACGGTTCCTTTGCCTTGAACTTGCACCCTTTTGTCGTTCCCCATACGCACGTCAGACTTTACAGATTCATCAAGTTTAACAAAAATAGATTTATCTCCAGTCATATGGTTACTACAATCACTGTCAAGATACCACATATTTTTTGTAGTGGCATTGAGGCAAGATATGATTAGATGTTCATCATTAGCATTTTCATCTTCAACTTTTTCTACATCAACTCTTTCCTCATGAAAGTTAGCTTGATTTTTAGGATTATACCAACAGTCTTTTTCATTATGTCTATATTTTTCACAAAAAGAACACTGAGGGATATTAAGATTC